TTTTTGTCTTTTTGCGACAAATAATTGAAAGGATAACTTGGCCGAAACAAATAATGATCGATAAACGCATCATTTTTATTAGATAGTTTTACATCTAGAATAGCCATTTCTCTACATTGAAAATGTTTATGAGGATATGTAATGTAAAATCCGTCCATGTCGATGATGTATCTAATAGTTTTTAGATTTTGTGTCATTTTGAACCAAAATGTTAAAAGTATTTACACGTGACTAAAAATATGTTTGTTCCAACAAACTTCACATAACAATGCTTCATTACTTCCCATCATCCCATTTCTTCCTTCTGCTCTTGTCTTCCTGTAATTTAAGTAAACAGAATCACATTCACTAATGATCAACTAATGACTGTCATTGTTAAAAAGTATTTTTTAACTTTTTCACTTTCTGCTATTGTCTTTGTATTTATGGCTAGGAAATGTCCGCGGCGCGGCCTCAATACGTGTTGGCGAACTTCACATGCCTTCGAAATTTTCTCAGACATGCAGGTTTCCTCACGATGTTTTTCTTCACCGCCGAGCACGTGGTAAATTAGCACTTAAAATTACAATTAACAATTTAATTGGTGCCAGCGGGGATCGAACCCGCGTCGCGTACTGTGAAATTTACAGCTTGCGCTAACCATATGAGCTACCACGGCTTAATCATATACACACACACAATATTTAAATATAATTTGTTAACACTAAATCACACACACGTAAGAAAATAACAGAAAGAAAAGTAAGTTTGTCAATAGAATAAACACTTAAAATTGCAATTAACAATTTAATTGGTGCCGGCGGGGATCGAACCCACGTCGCGTACTGTGAAATTTACAGCTTGCGCTAACCATCTGAGCTACCACGGCTTAATCATATACACACACACAATATTTAAATATAATTTGTTAACACTAAACCATACACACGTAAGAAAATAACAGAAAGAAAAGTAAGTTTGTCAATAGATTAAACACTTAAAATTGCAATTAACAATTTAATTGGTGCCGGCGGGGATCGAACCCACGTCGCGTACTGTGAAATTTACAGCTTGCGCTAACCAACTGAGCTACCACGGCTTAATCATATACACACACAATATTTAAATATAATTTGTTAACACTAAATCATACACACGTAAGAAAATAACAGAAAGAAAAGTAAGTTTGTCAATAGAATAAACACTTAAAATTGCAATTAACAATTTAATTGGTGCCGACGAGGATCGAACCCACGTCGCGTACTGTGAAATTTACAGCTTGCGCTAACCATCATAGCTACCACGGCTTTATCATATACACACACAATATTTAAATATAATTTGTTAACACTAAACCATACACACGTAAGAAAATAATAGAAAGAAAAGTAAGTTTGTCAATAGATTAAACACTTACATGCCTTTGATGCGTTGAAGTAATACAAATGTAGTATTGATAGATCCACTGCGGTCAAACGACCATACACTAACTCCATGACTGCAGTTGCTTGGTCTTATATAGTACCAGTAAGTAATAATTCTAATCTAAAGAATTTCTACAGTGGAATTGATAATAACTTAATGCGTCAAGAAGCTTATCTCACATTTTGTTGCTTATCTCAACATTACGTCGTGTCGCGTCTTGTTCAGTGTATTGATGACTCAAATACGTTTTGTATAACACAAAATAATGCAATTTAATATTTAAAAATCACTATAATTGATCATTCCTATGTTAGTCATTGAGTAGATTGTACTGTAATAATCTACTAATAGCAGTAATATCATGGATACACTAGATGTACAACAACATCTGAAAAAGATTCACCCCAGTCTATAAAATAATGTTTATGCTGCTAATAGACTGCCCATGTACACCCACGTACCAACGCATATACCTAGTCAGGTCATAAGTATTGTCACACAGTAAAAACTTTTCTTTTAGAATACTGGCCACAAAAAAGTTTATTGAATTCGAATTGTCCATGAAAATAAAACTGTATACTTTTTAGAATTTTGCTCATTTTTAAATATGGAATGGACGCTTAAAGAAGACCATGTTGCAGTTATTGCGTTGCATCGTTGCGGTTACGCACCAATTCAAATTTTTGACATACTGAAAAATTAGAATATAACCAAAAGATTCGTTTATCGTACCATCAAACGATACAATCAAGACTCTAGAGTAGATGACAGGTCAAGAAGTGGTCACCCTCGGTCTGTTAGGACTCCAGCAGTGATAAAAGCTGTGAAGACGCGAATTTAAAGAAATCCCAAACGTAAGCAGAAACTGTTGACCCTTCAGATGGGGTTAAGCAGAACCACGGTGAAAAGGGTGTTAAATGAAGACTTAGGGCTTCGGGCATATCGAAGAAAAACAGGACATCGTTTGAATGCTCGTCTAATGGACCTGAGACTGAAGAGATGCCGCGCTTTGTTGAAGCGGTACGCGGGAAAAAAATATCGGGAAATTCATTTTTCGAATGAAAAATTTTTTACCGTAGAAGAGAGCTACAACAAACAAAATGATAAGGTGTACGCACACAGTAGTGAAGAAGCGAGCAACCGTATTCCGCGTGTCCAACGAAGTCATTTTCCATCCTCGCTCATGGTATGGTTGGGAGTTTCTTATTAGGGCTTAACAGAGGTACATTTTTGTGAGAAAGGTTTAAAAACGAATGCAGTTGTTTATCAAAATACAGTCCTGACGAACCTTGTGTAACCTGTTTCTCATACCATGTTCAATAACAGGCACTGGGTATTCCAACAAGATTCTGCGTCAGCTCATAGAGCGAAGAGCACACAAGACTGGCTGGCGGCGCGTGAAATCGACTTCATCCGGCACGAAGACTGGCCCTCCTCCAGTCCAGATTTGAATCCGTTAGATTACAAGATATGGCAACACTTGGAGGAAAAGGCGTGCTCAAAGCCTCATCCCAATTTGAAGTCACTCAAGACATCCTTGATTAAGGCAGCCGCCGATACTGACATTGGACATTGGACCTCGTTCGTGCTGCGATAGACGACTGGCCGCGCAGATTGAAGGCCTGTATTCAAAATCACGGAGGTCATTTTGAATAAACTATAGTGTCATAAGAATCTATGTTTTGTTAAGTTCATTTTGGTATATAAATGGTTACTTATTGAATAAACTTGTTTCAATTATTTTATATTAAACATGTGATAGAATTTATGACCTGACTAGGTAATATGCAATTTGGGTACAGATGATAAACCAGGGTCACATTGGGTAGCTTTATATATCGATAAGAATGACGTCGGTCAATATTTTGATTTATATGGACGAGCACCTGTACGATATCATCTAGAGTTTTAAAAAGGAATTGTAAAAGATGGAACTGGAATGTTGATAGGATTCAGAATGAGTGGACTTCAGTTTGTGGCGAATGTTGCTTAATGTATTTGCTATATAAGTTTCAGGGATGTTCAATGCATAGTTTTACGAGTATATTTACAGGGAACATATTGTACAACGATATTTTAGTGTATGAGATGTTTCGCTCCTATTTTATAGATAATAAGTAATAAGATTTTGTATTTTATAAATAAAAATTTTAACAAAATTAGGTAATGTGTTTTATTGTTGATTCAGATTAGTGTTGTAGATAGGAACAAAGGAGTATAATACAATAGCACTGGTGAGCCGACGCACACGCTGACGAATAATAGATAATACCGGTATTCAATGAACAATAGATAAGAACAATGGAGCGCTAATGACGGTGGAGGCCATCACCGGATATCAATTAGATAAGAGTTAATTGATCTGCACATCTCCGGAACCGTGCATCCTACGCAAAAATGGACCGCAGATTTGTGATCAGAGCATGCCAAAATTTTTTTTTCAGGATCTCATTTTGATGACTCAGTGAGCCAGAACTGGTACAACGTAACTACTCGCGTTTATATTAATTGTGTGATAAATTGTGTTAAAACAATGCGTGGGTAAGCAACCTCTTTATTTGTAATCTCATTTTCTGTTTTATCTCATTAAGTACGTGTAGTACTTAATGAGATAAAACAGAAAATTAAAATTGTTTTTTAATTTGTATGAAGCAAACCGCTATCTTAGAACTAACATGCTGGTTGTGGAAATTTGACTTGAAATGTACGTAAAATTTTAGTGTTGACTGTCAGTTTTGTGTCAAAATATGTGTAATCGTTAATCATTTACAGTTTTAGTACATAAAAATGAAGATAAAGTGCAACATTTTCAAAATTTCAATGTAAATACGCAATAGGTGAAATTGTGTCCATCTATGAGACACCTGCAGTAGTGAATTCTAGTTCTTTGTTTTGCGGGTGGCGAAAAGAGGAACTAAAGTTTGCCATACTGCATCACGTTCAAATTCGGTTGAATTGTTAGAATCGTAAAGAATCTAGCGCCCTCGAGCAGATAAACGGAGCTTGGTTGATTCCAATCTCATTCGATGATTTATGCAAAAATTAGATGTGGCATTTGGATATGCCATGTATGTTAACACAAGACTTCGGAATTTTTTTATATTTTTATTTTAATATTTAATATTTGAATTTTTTTTTATTCTAATATAAACAGGTTGTGGTTTTTAAGATCACTTCAGACACATGCTTCTTATATCGGTTTTTTAATGTACATTTTATCTATATGCACTTTGCAAAATTCATAAATCAAAAAGAATTTAAAAAAATAATTCTTTTTGATTTACTTTTTACGTACGTTTCAGTTTTGCAAATCGTGTAACGTTGCGTTATGTTTCAACCTAGAGCAAGATTGCTGATACCTACGGTACCATTCGTAAATAATTATTACTGAAGATACAGTAAATCGAACAAGTACCAGGAGCCTTTTAACCCTTTATAGGGCATAAGGATCTGACAATTATATACAAAAAGCGGTTAGGGTATCATTTTAATTATGTTTTTAATAAGCAAGAAATAAAAAAAATTTTATTTTTGATTATTTATTGTAAAAAAATTGGTGGTAAAAATGTTCCCTTTGCCCGTCAGGCCACTCAAGATTACTGTGTATGAAAATTTGCAAAGCATGGAACCACGCAGAGTGGTACGGCGCAAATTCTGCACATTATTTTCGTTCTCTTGTCATGCGTCTTTGTGGAACATAACTTGCAACGCCTGTAAGATGGTGATTCAACTGGCATATGTGTCCCAACATTTTCAAACCGTTTCTCAAGTGGTACACTACCCACTGCTTTTTGGTAGTTTTCTGACAATACTTTTTTTCTATTCACATAGTTGGCCATGCTGGAAGCTCTTCGTTTACGGCTGGAATATTTTCCAACAAGGCCTCTTCCTAAAGCCACGTGAAATTCAAGGTGTGACAGTTGACTTGCTCTTTTATTTTGTTTATAAAGCAGGTATGCATTGGTAATGCTGGCATCTACCAAAAAATAAAATATTCTTCGCCACCACTTCTTACTTCTTCTGCTAACAGAATACGTACTTTTAACCTGGTCAAATTTGTCTACTCCCCCCATTCTCTTTGTATATTCTCTTACTGTCAATGGGCAACTTATTGCTAATTTGGAGCCATCTTTCTGTGTTCGATTTACAGTTGTTCTTTCTATTTGCGGATGAAATACATTGCTCAAGATAAGAACTTCTTTCGCGTCTTGCCACACAACAAATGAAACATTATCTTTTACTCTCCATCTGTACTCTCCCTTATTTAGTTTTTGGCATGCCTTCTTTCCATTTTTCTTTTTTATAAAATCGGGAAGTTCTATTCTGTTTCTACGTACAGTTCGTCGCGAAAATCCTTTTTTCATACAAATAATTTAGTAAATGATAGTCACAAAAAAAATTATCAAATGTCAGATGTTTCTCTTCTTCCATATCCAATAATTTTTCTGTGAGTTTTTTTACTACCTTACTTCCCAATCCACCCTCAGTTCCAGCATCTTGCTTGCCTGTGTAAATATCGAATTCATAAAGATAGCCCGTGCTACTATCACATCTACACCATACTTTATAGCCGCGTTTTACCGGCTTCATCGGCATGTATTGCTTCAAGGATGATCTACCCTTGAATATTATCATCGATTCATCTATGCTCTCGGATGATGTATTTTTCGCCGCTGCTTGACAAGCCTCATTTATCAAAGTTACTAATGGGCGTACTTTGTATAGTTTATCAAACGTTTCTTCATCTCTCTGGGGCTGTTTAGAATTGTCATTCAAATGTAATCTTCGTAGCAACGCCTTGAATCTCTTTATTGGCATTACACTGGCGATTTCATCAACCCTGAACCCCGGATCAGATGACCAATAAAGATTATAGTCTGGTAAAACATGATAACTCATCATTATAAGAATGCCTAAAAACGCTTGTATTTCAGGCTTTGAAGTCGGTGACCATGTCCGAATATTTTGCTGTTGAGCATATAGATTTGTCTGCTCAATTATGAGGTTATAAACTTCGTTAGTAAAAAACTTATCAAAGTATACTAAAGGCCTGCTGTTGTAAGATATTGGACTACGAGGTGCCAAAGTTATTTTCTCAAATACTGAGTAGTGTGGCCTGTTTCCATTAGACCACATCGCTTTATTCCATGAACCTTCTGATTCAGATTCTTCAGAGCTTTCTTCTATTGTTTCATTTGAAGAAATTCCAGATCTACTACAGCTCGGTTGACCAACAGACATTTCTATCTGTGGATTTTCTGGTATGGATATTTGAAAATGCTCAATTGAAGTGTTTTGAATGTGTGACTCAATATTATCTTTATAAGATTGTGGAAACTCCTGTGTCACTGGTGACGGAATTGTTTCCGGAATGTTTATAATTGTATTACTACTTGAGCTAGATTGCTCACCTTCTGAATTCACGTAAAGATTCTTGAGTTTTTCCACATTATACTCTTCACCATGTTCGTCAGACTCATATTCATCTTCGGAATTCGCTGGATCATCAGGCAAGCTAACTAATAATTCCAGCTCTTTCGCAAACTCATCATCTAGCAACAGTCTCCGTGACATTTTCAGAATTCTGAAATAAATTCATATTTTGTACATAACAATGAGTAGGTATGGCGGACCGGGCAAGGGGAAATATATTGCCACCGATTCTTAGACACATTACTCTAATCACGAATATTGAAATTGAAAAATGTGAATGATTTTGAGAAAACTATACACATTTCTAAGAAATAAAAGTAAAATTACACAATAACGCCATGTTTTCTGAAAGATTTATCGAGATTAGTTACAATAGCTCAAAAATTACCTTTTTCGCAATCTCTTGACGCCACCATCGAAAAACGAATAATAATGGAGTAATAGCAGTGTTGCCAACAGCGCTGGCCCTAATGTTGCCGATTCTCGTGCATGAAGTAGCCTAATATCGCCGAATTTCAACTGTAGTAGCCTAAAGTAGCCCAAACATCATATCAATATGAATAAAATAAAATATAATTTTTATCAATTTATTTATAATATGTTCGTAACACACTGATAAATAGGCATAAGCCATCTTTAGAACACGTTAATGAAATTAAAGTTAACATTTTAAAAACAAATAAACAAAAATTAGGATTATTCTGATTCGTCCTCTGCTAGCAATAATAAGGCATCACCAAGACTTTCGCCGTCTTCAGTAGTAGTTGATGTGCTAGTACTGGCGCAAGATCCACCGGAGACATACATTTTTCTGCCAGCGTGCAAACTCACCATGTGATTGCTTGGTTGAAAGTTGTTACAACACAAACCTCTTACATTTATATGGGTACGAATCCTAAGAATTGCGATCAGCATGGGTAGTTGCATGCGATTCCTTAATTTTGTTTTGATTGTCCCCATTACGCTGAAAATTCTTTCAATGACGGCATTACTCAAAGTTAATGAAAGGCATCGTATCGAAAACACTGCTAGTTCTTTAAAAATCAGGTTTCCACCAGCATTTTTCATTTTTAGCACTTGTATCCAAAAATTTACAATGTCATTAGGAGAAGAAGCTGTTCCGATTATCTCCTCAATGCGCATAGTGCTTAATACGCGCCATTGGTTCATAACAGCTTCTCGGTCAATATTGGGATCACCTAACTGCCAGGGAAAATCTTTAATAAATTAATTACTTTATTTGAGCAAACAATTTTCAACAGCACTTGTAGAGAAATAAAGATTCATTCATTCCCTTAAAAGCCATAAAACCACTCAAGGGTCACTCCCGCGGACGTAGAGTCTAAAATAACGTTTTTTGTAAACAATACTCAATGCGTCACAAGTGTTGAGTAACAAAGCCGTTCAGAGGCGCCGCGGGTTGCGCGGCGGTTATATTACATTTCCAATAACCAACATAATTTTAGCAACATTATTTCTCAAAAATGTAATATATTTCCTTTAACACAAATAATATCTACGAAATAATAACATTTAAAATAAACATATCTCTTCCTGAAATAAAAAAAATATTAAGGATATATATTAGAACCCACTTCTTATGCTCCAAAAATATGCCAAAAATAAAGTCCATTTTGCACTTTTTGTGCATTATGTACTAGTTCATAAACATTTTTATATAACATCTGCAGTATATTAGTATATAGTTTTGCCGATTCCCTTTCACGAACCAATAACTAATCCTTTTTTCAGGTTAAAACCTTCTAGCATTCCATCTTAGTCTCACGGGTGACAATGCATCTGCATTTTCATTTGTAATCGAAGATAGATATCTACGGGCCGCAGCAACTACTCACAATCAGGTGGACTGTGTGCTCGTTTGCCAACCTATTCTATAGAAAACATACAAAATAAAAAGGTGTATTCATTTCAACGATGAGAACCGTGGAGAGAGATCAGAGGAGCCCCGGTAGCTCAGATGGTTAGCTCTCGCGTTAAATTTCACAGTACGCTAGCAAACCTGGTTCGATCCCCGCTAGCGTCAATGAAATTGTTAATTGCAATTTTAAGTGCTGATTTACCACGTGCTCGGCGTTGAAGGAAAATATTGTGAGAAAGTCTGACTGTCTGAGAAATAAGAAAAAAATATTTCGAAGACATGTGAAGTTATCACGCATAGGGGCAGCGTGGCGGACACTTCTTTGCCCTAAAACCCTCTCAGAAGTGAGGTAAGGCCCAGCAGTGGGACGTAAATAGGCTGTAACTTAACTAACTTAACTATTTCAACGATGATAGTCTGAAATAATCAGCCGAACAAATTATAGCTAGGCAACAATAAAAACTAAATGGATGGATGTACGTAAGTATAAAATTGAATAAATATATAACATGGGTACTCATTTCTTTAACCCTTTGTAGGGCAAAGGGAATATTTTTAACACCAGTTTTTTTTTTGAGATATTTCTGAATGCATTTGTGTTAGGTCTTTATTTTTTAGCCTGGCAACATTCATGAATGACAAGAAACAAATTTTGACAAGTGACATCTGACAATTATTATCACAGAACACTATTACTCAGTGTTGCCAACGTAGGCAATTTTTCGCCATTAAGGCTACTCCGAACGAGAATCGGCGACGAAAAAATCTAAAAGGCGGCTGGTCGCCAATTAGGCTACTCTAGGGACAAGTTTTTTTTATACTACCTAGTATGTAAACAGGCATACGGCCGTGCGTGTGTGTAATGTTGGTACAATTTGATATTAAGATGTTCACCCTATTTGTTTGTGATTGGTTATTTTTCGGGAATAACCTGAATTCGTCTTAGCTATTATGTAACCAAATTTAGAATGCAATAGGTTTACATGTATTCTATTATGAATAATGACTACCGCAATTACCTGTGTTGTACTGACTAAATAGTTCAGATAAATTCCGGTTATTCCTTGGTCACTTTGGCTTTGTAAAATTTCTCCTGTGCTTGTTTTGTAAAATGGGTAAACATGGTAAATATATCAAGCATTATAGTGATGAATGGGAAAAACTGCCAGCATTTAAAAGTAAGTAAAAACTAAAGTACCGTTTTATATTAATGTTTTGTGTGATGTTGGGCAGTGTATGCCGTTGCACTGTCCCGTTAGAACCACATGTCCAGTTCATCTAATTGATGAAGAAGAAAGTTGTTGATCATAGCTCTGTAGCGGTCGCCATTCACAGTAAGCGTGTGGCCCGCGTCTTCGAAAAAAATATGCCCCGATAATTCCTCTAAACCTTGCCTTAACCTAGAGCGGTTGTTAGTGGCCATTCGTGGATCAGACGTATTTTTTCGGTGCTCCAGATGTGATAATGTTGTCGTTCACGCAGCCATTGAGGTGGAAATGATTTTTATTGTTCATGATGAATTTCGATGAAAAATCGTCATCTTCTTGGTTGAGATTCAGGATGACTTGAGCGTAGGTTACGCACGTTTGGCGGCCAACAGCTAACAGCTTATGCCCTGTCTAAACTTTGTAAATGAACATATTCAGGTCTTTCACAAAAAATCGTAGGAACGGGTGCTAAGGCCCAATTACGTGTTCGTGTGTCGTGTGTCGACGTGTCACGCAATTGGGCCTTCATCATCATTATCATCATTACAGCCCTCAAGTCCACTGCTGAACATAGGCCTCCCCCAAGTAATGCCACAAAGCACGGTCCTGAGCCACCTGCATCCATCGACTTCCTGCATGTCTTACCAGGTCGTCACTCCATCTAGTGGGGGGTCGCCCTACACTACGCCTACCGGTACGAGGCTGCCACTCGAGAACCTTTCTTTCTTAATTGGGCCTTAGCTACATTAAATATAAAAGCTTCTCGTTCATTGCTATCACCTGTACGAAGTTTCATTAAGAACATAGCTAGACTTCTTTCAGGTGATTTAAATCTTTCACTGATACGTGGAAATTCAACAAGTAACTGTTCAAATTGGCGGTTAGTAAATCTTAACCAGTATTTGCATAATATTGAATTATGTTCAATGATATTTAAAATATTATAATATTAAGTAACATTACTTTTAAGTAGTAAACAAAGGTTGTCTTTCTGAGATGCAGTGAAATCTGAACAGTTACTACTTGTGACAAATTATAACACACAACGAGATCACAGTAGTTTAGGTATTAAGAATCTAATGATTTCTTATATTTACGCGAACACTATACATGATTAAAACTACTTTTACGGATTTTATCGCGTTTATTTTTACTTTTTATTTACTTTTATTTTTAATTCCCGACGTTTCGGGCGCTTTCCAGCACCCATGGTCACGGGGGACCAGTCCCCCGTGACCATGGGACCAGTGGAAACGTCGGGAATTAAAAATAAAAGTAAATAAAAAGTAAAAATAAACGCGATAAAATCCGTAAAAGTAGTTTTAATCGTATTAAGAATCTAGATAAATAATTACATAACTTAAAAATACAGTGACGGGAAGTACTGCTTCTACTTTTACTTTACTTTTTTTCTACGCTTATAATTAGCCATAGTAATTGTTGATACCGCTCTGGAAATGGCAGGAGTTACAGGTGCAGGTATAGGGGGTGATTGTGGGATTTTACCAATGTCTTCTATATTCATGGATTGTAACTCCATATCCCTGTTCTCATTTTGTTTTCTCTGTCTCCATATAGCTCTGGAAGCCCTCTGCTAGCAAGGATTGCATAATCGTTCTAAACGATCCACCTGAAAAAAGTTTTTTTTTATCAACTAACTGAACGGACTATAGTTTTACAGTGTCTACTCTAAATATTAATAATATTTATTATTGTTCCATTTATTTCAATCTTTCTTACACTAAATTGTTTTAATGTCTTTTAAAATTATAAATTTTAGTATGCAATTGTTTCCCTTCATAATATTTTTGTGGCAAACCAAATTCCACTTATTTCAAAAGAAATAAAAAATACATCACATATCAGACAGGCAAAGAAGTAGTTATTTTAGAATTATAACATTATTTTACTAAGCACAAGTTCTTTAAAGTTTTATTTATACTAACGTCATTTAAGGTTAAAAATATTATTTGTATAATAAGTACAAAGGCATGCAAATATGGGTGTAAGGTGAGGAAGAAGTATCGTTTATCTAATAACAACTAAAAATAAAA